TGCAGTCCTGCTACATACAGTCCGTTTTAATGCTGTGTTGATCCTGACTTTTTTTCGTTTTTGTTTGTGTGTGTCTGTGTTAGGAACAGACAGAACACAAGAAAGTGTCTGAATTTGACAGCAATTTATTTAATCTTCTAGAATATTTGTTAAACAATTCTATCCAATAAGAGTCTAGTCATTCTAGGTTTACGTTTGTTTTTGTTACTCTGAACAATGCTCAGTGCTGTATGAGGTTGTACTTAAGCACAATAGTGCTTTAAACTAGAAATGTAAACAACAGCATCAGCTGCATCAGCTAACATGCTCATTGAGGTGAGGCTAATGGAAATGGTAGTTTGCAGGCCTCAGATATTTGACATACTACATGACCTGATGGATGCGCCAGATGAAAAGTTAGATTATTCTTGAATCCTCTAGACATCACATATGTGTGTACCAAATGTCCTGATCATCTATCTGACCTGCTTGTGGCGGTAGAGGAATCCAAGAATCATCAAAGACAAGTATGATTTTCTCTGGAGACCATCAATGTCTGTATAAATTGAATGGCTATCCATCCAATAGTTGTTAAGATATTTCAGTCCGGACCAAGGTGATAGAACAGATATTCTGACATTGTGATCCATAGAGCAAGCTAGCACGGCTAAAACATCTAAAGTGAATGATTAAAGTCATCAGACATTAGAGCATACAGGGTATGCTTCTAGATAATATAACGTTCAAAAGACAAATTCAAACTGTCTGTCCACAGGTATTTCAAATGAAGAAAAAAAAAAGATGTGTAACAATAAAGTTAAAAAAATATTTATACTAAAATGAACTCAGTGGTGACATCATGAAAATCAAAGAGGATGTATTTAACTCAGTGATTCCTGTAGTTAAAGTAATGAACGCGGTGTTGTTTCCCCTTCCTTTTTTTAAAAAACATATCTAGTTCTACAAGGTTTCAACCCAAGCAGATGTTTTTACTATGAATTATTAAATATATTTATGAGACACACATTATTGTGTAATGTTTCAGTTTTTGTTTTGTTCTCTGACCTTTGAGTCCTGAGCTGGTCTCTGACAGCCTCTGCACCAGATCAGTCCTGTTCATGTCCATGAAAACTTCCTTGATCACCTCCACAGGCTGTTGGATCTCCACCAGGTTCTCCACCATCAGATCCACTAGTTCTTCTGCACTGTGTGCAAACGGCATTTGTCTCTTTGAGATTTGAGGGAGGTTCTTCTGGAAGTTTGTGAACTGCAGCAAAAACTTGAATTTCGAGCTCTTCGAAACTCAAACCATTGAGTGTCTGAAAAATAATCTTTCTTACAGCTTCCCTCGCTGATACCTGAATAATTGAAAAGGAAATGTTAAGCAAATATGAAATTTCTTGACTGCGACAGATTTATGTCTTTGCAGTTTGTCAGTGTCAGTGTTTTACACAAAGAGAGTATAAATGTTATAAGATTTTGTTTTTATTTCTTTTATCACTCAAGAGAAATTATACACTAATATCTGTTCTATTGATTGGATGTTTATGATGATGAAGAGGATTCCCTTTATCCGTTGACCATTTAATTCCTGTAAACTGATTACTACCTATATTAGACAACATATTATGTTTTTCTGTACAGTGACTATCAGATCTATCAGACTTTATTTGTATAGCACTCTTTCATACAAATCAAAATGTTACACAAAGTGCTTCACAGATTAACCCAGAAGAAAAGGATATGCCAAATATTATAACAAATTAATAGAACAGATTATAGTCTATAAATAAATAGAAATGTCTAGGAATACTACTACCACTACTAATCAGGCTTGGAGGAGTAACAGATTCCATGTAACTGAGTTATGTAATGAGGATACTAAAAAGTAACATTAATCAGGTTATTTTACTTTAATATTGTGATACTTTTGATTATCTCGTTATGATGGCTCCTGTCAGTGGGTGGGATATATTAGGCAGCAAGTAAACATTTTGTTCTCAGGTTGATGTGTTAGAAGCAAATTGGCAGTGTGAGGATTTGAGCAACTTTAACAAGGGGACAAATTGAGATGGTTAGACGACTGGGTCAGAGCATCTCCAAAAATGCAGCTCTTGTAGGGTGTTCCCGGTCTGCAGTGGTCAGCAAAGCGGTGAATCAGAGACAGGGTTATGATTGGCCAAGGCTCACTGATGCACGTGGGGAGGCGACAGCTGGCCCGTGTGGTCCGCTCCAACAGACGAGCTAGTGTAGCTCAAAAAGTTAATGCTGGTTCTGATAGAAAGGTGTCAGAACACACAGTGCATCACAGCTTTTTGCGTATGGGGCTGCAGAACACCCTGGTGGTCATAATGTTATGGCTGATCGGTGTTAACATATAAATGTAAAAACCTGCATCTTCTGAATGATGAAAGCTGTGATGTGTAAAGTCAGACTCACTCTCTCCTGCAGTGCAGATCGACATTTATCCACAGAGGGTTTCTCTAAAGAGAAAAGAACATGTAAAATTACTCAGAGGATTATAATCTAATTACACATAGAGAGTAAAATCCACTTTAATAAGGCTCAGTTATTTAACAACAACAAAAAAAAAGTAATTCACTGCAAACAGCATCACCTGAGGATACAGAGTTTTGACAGAAGCAGCATGAATCATATTTTATTATTAGTCACTCATGATTAAAACTGTGATTACATAATGTAACAGATTTATGTCCTCTTTCTCTTACCTTTGAGTTCTGAGCTGGGCTTTGACAGCCTCTGAACCAGATCAGTCCTGTGCAGGTCCATGAAAACCTCCCTGGTAAACTCCACAGACTGCTGGCGTAGGTTTCCACCATCAGATCCACTATTTCTGCTCTGCCTGCTGTGTCCTCAAATCCATTTGGAGGTCTTTCTGGGAGAAAATCAACTGCAGGAACACCTTGAATTTCTTGAGCTCCTTGTTACTCAAATCATTCAGGGTTTCCAAAAGCAGTTGTTTAACAGCTGCTATTGTTGCAACCTGAAATAATAAATACATTCATGTAATACCTGAATGCAGCTTCAGTTCTATGAAAAATAAATATATAAAAAAGTAAGTCATGAGTTTGGGTCAATCATTATTTTAAAATGTTCAATATAATAATATAGTGGCTTGCAACCTGTATCTGTTGAATGAAAGCTGTGTTTATAAAGTCAGACAGATGTACTCACTTTCTGGATCAGTGCGCAGAGCGTTGTTCATCTGTAGAGGGTTTCTCTGAGGAGAAAAGTGGTAAAAGTCAATCATAAGCAACTCATCTAACATCTGAGAATAAACATTGTTATCAGGCAATATTGTACAATACATAAAAATCACACTTAAATCTCCAAAACAGTGACATACACCAATCAGCCATAACATTATGAGCACTGACAGCTGGCGAAAGCTAACCCAAACCCTGTTCAGTGTATAACCTCCATAATAATATTTTTCATAGTTCACTTTAGTTATAAAATATATATATATATATAAGTTTTTTTACATTATAAATTGTTTTATTAACCATAAAGAGAAGAAAACATTGCTTAGAAACTTGTAAGAATCATGCTCTGGACCAGTTTCATGATTTTAAGGTGTTTTTTGTCTTACTTTTGGATCCTGAGCTGCTGTCAGACAACCTCTGGTCCAGGTCAGTCCTCTTCATCTTCTTTAAAATCTCCTTGATCGTCTCCAAAGACCGTTGGCCAAAAGTCTGCACCAAAAAAAACACTGTGTCCTGCAGGCCCATTGTCTCCAGTAGCCTCCATTTCCCCAGCCTAAACGATGGGAAGTGAATTTGCCTCAGGATCTCTTTGAACTCCTTGAACTTCCCATAAGTTAAATCTTTCAATGTTTCCAAAAGCAGCTCTATCACAGACACCATCGTTTCCACCTGGTAAATTCAGAGAAAATGCTCAAAGTGCAATATCTCAGCTAGGACTATTACAGATTTTCAATCAGATCAATTATCAAAATAGCAGAAGATTTATTTTCTGTGAATTAACTGATCTATTAATTGTTTCAGTCTGAGTTTAAAATCAGACAGATGTGATATTACTCACTTTCTTGGTCAGTGCTGGCCAATGTTCATCCACAGAGTGTTTCTCTGAGGACAAAGAAAATATAAAAGGACTCATGAATGATTTATTAAATCAGACACTGTCAGACTATAATAATTCTAATATTAGGGATTCATAGCAAAATTAACAAATTTAAAAAAAAAATACTACTTAACAGTAAAAATCAATAACCAACCTGATGGATCTTATTTGCTGTTAAACTCTGTTAACAATTCATATACTGAAATGTTAATTAAAATAACTGTAGGAAACTTTATATATTTAATTAATATTTTAAGTGTCTTTATTTTTTGTAAATGACTCCTACCTCTCTCTGTGGTGCCACATCAAATGCCTCAGTCGATGATCCTGCAGCTGCAACACATTTAATACAAATTTTAGTTATAATGATAAATAAACTGTGTGTAAACTTTATGTAGTCCCTGTCCTGTGTACAATATTTAGTCCTGAGAATAATGTATTAATATTTCAATTTCAGGTCTTTCAGGTGGAGGTCTATCTGTCTCTATACTGGAACGTAGTTTAAGTCAAATTAAAGCTCCACAAAAAGACAATTCAATAGATTCACATTAGCCAAATTCCTATTGGTCATATATAGTAAAGGACTGGAAATAATGGGCTCAAAATGCACAAATTCAATGGACCAAAAACCCAACATGAACATGTGACCCAAGATAGTATAACATGAGATTTATTTGAGAATTACTTTATTACGTTTATCGAATTTGCATAAATGAATTAATGCTAACTACATGCTTAGGGAGCCAAAGAGCAAGCACGACCCAAAGGTAGTTAATACAGTAACTATCAAGTTATAGTTAACACTAAGAATAAAAATGTTTTTTAAAAGGTAACCCCTCAGAACATTGTTTCTTTAAAGTCAAAATCCGAGTAACCTTTGTCTAGTTTCAGATTTACTTTTTATTTTGAATGCACAAGTAAATTGAATAAGTTCAATTAGCCACTTCAAAAATTATGTTTGAATTAATTTTACTGAGATGAAAATACATTCTCTTATTTTTAAGACAGTTGTTGTTGTGTTTGAAAAATTGTTGATTCAGCTCTTTGGTATTTTTGCTGTCATGGCACTCCTATATAGTGTTGTTCTGTTGCTTTATACTATAAGCTACACTAAATATTAAAAATATTTTGTAACGATGTATATGTATCGGTTTTATAGATTAATGTGACAGTTCTTCTTTATCTTACCTTTGAGTCCTGAGCTGGTCTCTGACAGCCTCTGCACCAGATCCATCCTGTTCATGTCCATGAAAACTTCCTTCATCACCTCCACAGACTGTTGACCGTATTTCTCCACCATCACATCCACCAGTAGTTTTGCCCAGTCTGCGCACTTCAGTTGTTTCAATAAGATGTGTGGAAGGTTCCTCTTGAACAACGTGAACTGCAGCAGCCACTTGAAGGTCTTAAATTCTTCGGAACTCAAATCATTGAGTGTTTCTGAAAGAAGCTCTTTAACAGACGCCATTGTTGCAACCTGAAAAATTCCAAGTATATATGTTATTTCTTCAATAAAAAAAATATTTAAAATAGATTTGCACCTTATCAATGACATTATTTTAGAGATTTGAATTTAACATGTCTTTTTCTACAAGATCACTTAAACTTCTGATACATTTAGTAATTATCTGTTTGTTAGGACAGAGGATGAATCTTATTTCCTTCTAATTTTTAATATCTCTAACCTGATTGATGGATGTTTTTATATTTCCAGCCTGTAACTCTTTCAGTGTGTTACCAAACACAAAACTGACCCACCTGATCTTAATTTTACATAGAAATGCATTTACATTCAGATTCTGACATGAGATATTGTTGATGAATTAGCTGTAGAAACAGGTGTCAGCACAATGAAAATAATTTCTCAATTTCATATTTTGTATTTTGTTAAAATCTTTGAAAAACTGTTTCGCAATGACAATGGCTTGATGAAAATAATATCACAACAGAGAATTTGGTTTAATTTATCATCACTTATCAGCATTAATGGTGATATGAGTTTAAACCTGAATCTTGAATATAATATTGATTAAAAGCTGTACTCTGTTGGTCAGACAGATATAACATTACTCACTTTGTGGATGAGTGCAGACAGGTGTTCATCCACTGAGTGTTTTTCTGAGGAGACAGAAAGAAAATAATGGATATATGTAATGTAAAATAAATTAAAATACAAAGAGGTCAACACAAAATTATACTCAAACTTCATCAAGTTACATACAATTTATCACTGACATTTTCAGCCCCCTCTCCTGGTAATATTTGTTCATGTTTCATAGTAGCAATGAATTTTGTAAACCAGATAATGTGTCTTGTTTTGTCTAAATTATAAATCTTATTTATCATGTAAAGGAATGAAGGCATAAACTTTCATGATTTTAACATGTTTTTGTTTTTATTGCCTTACTTTTGGGTCCTGGGTTTTGGTCTGAAAACCTCTGCACCAGGTCAGTCTTCTTCATCAACATTAAAACGTCCTTGGCCGTCTGCACAGACTTCTGGCCAAAAGTCTGCACCATTGAAAACACTGTGTCCTGTTTGTCTGTTATTTCCAGCAGCCTTAATTGGATGCCTGTTGTCTCAAACTTAAGAAAGGAATGTCTGAAGAATTTAAATTGACTCAGGACCTTCTTGAACTCTTCAAACTCCTCGTAACTCAAATCTTTCAGTGTTTCCAAAAGCAGCTCTATCACAGACGCCATCGTTTCCACCTGGTAAATTCACAGAAAAGGTTCATGGGGCAAAAGTAACATTTCTCACCTGGAACGATTTTTCTGTTCACATCTGATCAGTGTGTGTTGTAGAAGTGTAAAAGCAGTAAGAGTACATCAGCCATAACACACAAGGTAATGCTACATTTGATAATATTTGTCTAATTGATCACATGTACCTGTTTTTTTACAAACTCTATGTGTAGAAATGTATTTCGTAAGATCAAGGTAATTTACTTATTTCCTCTTACACACATTTTTGTTCTACTGCCAGGGTATAACTCTATCAGAGACTGTGCTACAAAAACTGTATTATGGTTTTGCACGGTGGGCCCAAACAGAGGAGACGGACACAGGGGTAAGGTGAGTAAGGAAGTCTTTTTGTAGGGAAACAGGGAAGAGGAGGGGGAGAGACAAGAAGTTGGCTGTCAGAAACAGAGGACAAATAAGCAATGGTAGATGGTACAGCCGGGCCAGGCTGGACAATGGTTAGTGGCATGGAAACACTGAAGTTAGCTAGGGGATTGGCAGACAGAAAGACAAGCAGGGAGACAGACAATAGATGATCTACAGTAGCTGAGACTCAGAGGGCAGGCTGAGAGTGCACAGTATTAGGCAGGCAGGCAGGCAGGAGATGATCCACTATGGCACACAGGAAAAGACAATGAATATTAGCAAGGAATCAACACAAGGAAAACCACTCAGAAATACACTGACGAGGAGATACAAGCTCAAACTACCACTGAAGCTGAGTAACGATCTGATGACCAGTGGGAGAAAAGCCAGGGTGGATATACTGCAGAAGGAGATGAGTTGATGAAAGGCAGGTGTAAAGGTTCAGCAGGGATCAAGAATCCAGGAGAGTGAGCGAGGATACGACACATTCGTGGTAAATAACATTCATGCTTTAGAGTTCATACATTATGTGGCTTTGTTCAGTTATAAAGTTCAAGATGAAGATGAGTTTCAGTGATGTGGCATACTCACTCTCTGGATCAGTGAAAGCTGCTGTTTCTCTGAGGGAAAAATAAATGACATTATACCTATTAGTAATTGATTCAACATCAGGCTTGTTTAACATTTATAATACAAAGGTCTTCATTCCAAAATGACAGTGACATAATAATATGTACAGTTAGATGAAGATTCATCATCAGTGTTGAATAGTTTTGGATCTATTTGTTACTACAATATTCACAAACTTAAAACGTCTGATCAAACAGTTTCACCCCAGCTGACATACAACCTACGGTGGCCAGTGCAAGTCACAAAGGCAAATAACAAAACACAACAACAAACAAAAAAAAAGACTAATTGGAAATGACACTGACAAAAAACAGAAACCTTTGAGACCTTTGAGTCCTGAGCTGGTCTCTGACAGCCTCTGCACCAGATCAGTCCTGTTCATGTCCATGAAAACCTCCTTGGTCACTTCCACAGACTGCTGAATCTTTAACAGGTTCTCCACCATCAGATCCACTAGTTCTTCTGCACTGTGTGTGCTCTCCATTTGCCCCTCTGAGATTTGTGGGAGGCTCTTCTGGAAGTACGTGAACTTCAGCAAAAACTTGAATTTCTCGAGCTCTTTGAAACTCAAACCATTGAGTGTTTCAAAAAGAAGCTTTCTAACAGCTGCCCTCGCTGATACCTGAAAAATTCAAAGGAAATGTTAAGCAACAGATTTATTCTTTTGCATTTTGTCAATGTCAGTGTTTTACACAGAGAGTATGAATGTTATGAGATGTATGTGTATGTGACGTAGTAACAGATTACTCCCCAGATAAAGATGTCATTAGATTATAGTTACATTTAATAAAAAGGGGGGATAATTCAGCAGGATGACAATTTTTAACTGCATCAGTTTTTCTTTAAAAATACACTGAGCAAAGGGAAACGTTGTAGATGCTGAAAATCATTCCACTTTTTATTCTGTTTCCATTTTCTTATCAAATGTTGTTTGTTGTCTTTTAGAATACACTTGAATCAATGCTTCTTACTGCCATTTCTTTTCTCTTGTTTTAGTAATCAAGTTACATTACTTTAATACTGATACTAAACAGGTAATTAGTATTTGTATCAGATTACATCTTAAAGTAACCCTCCCAACTGTGGTGATAATAATAATAATAATAATAATAATAATAATAATAATCATAATAATAATCATAATAATAATCATAATAACAACATATGTATTTAGCATATACTGATACCTTAACACTGTAAAAACCATTCAATTTAAAACAGTGATGTGTAAAGTCAGACTCACTCTCTCCAGCAGTGCAGTTTGATGGTCATCCACAGAGGGTTTCTCTGAAGAGTGAAGAAAATGTAAAATTACTCAGAGGATTATAATCTAATTACACATAGAGAGTATAATGCACTTTAATAAGGCCCGGTTATTTTAAAACAAAATAGAATAAAAAGTAATTCACTGCAAAACAGCAGACATTATCACCTGAGGACACAGAGTTTGGACAGAAGCAGCATGAATAATATTTTATTTCTTAGTCACTCATGATTAAAACTGTGATTACATAATGTAACAGATTTATGTCCTCTTTCTCTTACCTTTGAGTCCTGAGCTGGGCTTTGACAGCCTCTGAACCAGATCAGTCCTGTTCAGGTCCATGAAAACCTCCCTTGTTAACTCCACTGACTGCTGGCCGTAGGTTTCCACCATCAGGTCCACTATTTCTGCTCTGTCTGCTGTGTGTCTCAAAACCATTTGGAGGTCCTTCTGGGAGAAAATAATCTTCAGGAGCCTCTTTAATTCTTGGAGCTCCTTGTTACTCAAATCATCCAGGGTTTCCAAAAGCAGTTGTTTAACAGCTGCTATTGTTGCAACCTGAAATAATAAATAAATTAATGGGACATTTTATTCACTGGGACAATTGCAAATGTGTTTCTTTACATCTCATCAATGTAAGTATAGCTGTGGGGTTTTCTACTAAATCACACAAGGTATTGATTAATTTGAAAATTGCTGCTGTATTGATTACAGTGCGTTCACTTTTTTAGTATGCTTGGTAAGTTTATTTATTTTTCATTAATTTTTTTTATGTCTTATGCCTTTTTTTGAAAATGTATCATTCATTTTTGAAGAAACACAAAATACAAAGCAAAAGATAATTCCCTTCTCTTTCTCCCATTAATTCTTATAATCTGGTTACTTTTTTCTTTATTTTTCTTTACAGGCTGCAGCTCTTTTCACAAACACTAAAATGAGTCACAGTGGCTCAAAGAAACTATTATTATAAATATAATTGTAATTTTTATTGGATACAATTACTGCAAAAGAACTCAATCTGAATGCAGCTTCAGTTCTATGAAAATATATATATAAAAAAAGTAAGTCATGAGTTTGGGTCAATCATTATTTTAAAATGTTCAATATAATAATATAATAAATTTTAACCTGCATCTGTTGAATGAAAGCTGTGTTGTATAAAGTCAGACAGATGTTACTAACTTTCTGGATCAGTGCAGAGCGTTGTTCATCTGTAGAGGGTTTCTCTGAGGAGAAAAGTGGTAAAAGTCACTCATAAGCAACCAGTGTTGGGCAAGTTACTTTTAAAAAGTAATTGGTTACTGTTACTAGTTACTTCTTCCAAAAAGTAACTAAATTATTTACTCAGTTAAAAATTATAAAAGTAACTAGTTACTTCAGAAAGTAACTATTGCGTTACTTTCAAGTACATTTTTAAATGCTCCAATGTGACCCCACCTCCACCCCTCTTTAACGGAACTTAAAATACATGTGCATGTTCAATTATTTATGATAAATCTGAATATTATAATGAAATGGACACTTAATACAATACATTATTAACAGAAACAATGTACACAAATCTAAAGTATTTTAATGTTGCTGTGGGACAAAGTGAGACTAGCCTCCAATCAAATGCCATGTATGTAGATATTATGTTTATATAGTGGATCGATACAAATAACACAATAGATGTTTTGGAACTTTTAATATTTATTGCCCCTCAACAGGCCACAACTGGGCCAAATCAAATTATGCTTGTTAAGCACTATACCAAAAATAAATAACAAATACTTCCATTTAGAGAAGGCTACTTTTGGATTATTTGGGCTCGCCATACCTGTCTCTTGTTGACTGACTCGCTTGTGTTGTTCGTTGTGTGTCCGACAATGCGTGCTTTCGAACACCCGCCCAACTCTACCTCTGATTGGCTTACCAACGAAATTTTACTCAACCTCAGCCAATCGTCAGCATTTATGCGCTTGTCTCGTGCACTGCCATTACATTATGAGCACTGACAGGTGAAGTGAATAACACTGATTATCTGGTTATCATGGCTCGTGAACATTTTGGAGGACAAACGTGGTCCGATCCAACAGACATGCATAACATTATGACAACCTCCTCTCACAATATTTTTCATAGTTTATGTTATTTAAAAATATATTGTAGGCCTACATGAGATTACGTTTTTTTTTTTTACATTATAAATTGTATATATAAAGAGAAGAACACATTGCTTATAAACTTATAAGAATAATGTTCTGGACCAGTTTCATGATTTTAAGGTGTTTTTTGTCTTACTTT